TGAAAAAGAGTTAAGACTTTTTTTTTTCGAAATTTTAATTATATTGCTTAAACCGGTTTCAAACCGGATCTGTTTGTTACATCATGTAAACTCGATTTTGCCAACTTATCGGCTTCCTCATTTTTCGATCTAGAAACGAATGCCAAATTTTACATCTAATCTCTTCCCGATCTCTGTGATATCTTGAATGATTCTGTAAATTTCAAGGTGAAAGCTGTCCGATTTGATTAGGGTTATGAGTTGCTGTGAATTGGAGAACATCGTGAAGTTGGATCGCCCCCGTGTTGCCGCTTGTAGCAGAGCTTCCTTCATCGTCATAGCCTCTGCCATAAGGGGTGATCCGATCCTCTCCTCTGCCTTTGATCCGCTCGCAATCGTCTGATTTTGGTCGTTTTTGAAGATCCATCCGAGTCCCGCGATTTGCAGATCTGCTTTCCACGACGCATCAGAGTAGTATCGGAGTCCGGTTTCACTGGTAGGAGTTTCGGTACCTGTCTTCCCCACGGCGGTTATATCTTGTGCCGCGAGCCATTCCGTGGCGTCGTGTATTGCTTTGGTCATCCTTTCCTTCGCGGAGAAAGCTCGGTTGTGAAATATTTTTTGGTTCTTGGCTAGCCATAGGGACCAAGCCACCCATGGGAATAACAGTCCATCACTGAGGCCTGTTGGGGGAAGGCATATATGTTGGCGTGATTGTAAGAGTCCCTCTTGGAATGTTGGGATGTTTTCAGAGGACAAAGGCTCTTTGAATGGGGCTAGGCTCCATACTTCCCTCGCAAACGGACAATGTAGTAGGAGGTGATCAATTGTTTCTAGTTGCTCGCATCGTATGCAGTTGGATTGTGCTATGATTCCTCTCGTGGCAAGCTGTGATCCTACTGGTAAGGCCCCTTTTATTGCTTTCCAAATGAAAATCTTGATTTTGTTTGGGGTCGTTACGCTCCATATACCTGATATCCAGTTAAAATTCTGTAGTGCAGCTTGGTTATGTCTATTTGTGGTTGCTTCTCTTGCCACATGGTAGCCAGATTTGGATGTGTAAACTCCCGATACATCTCCAAGCCACACTAGTTTGTCTGTTGCTCCTTCGGTGCTAGGTTTGAGAGCAGTGATGATCTTTCCCAGGTTAGGAAGCATTTCGTTTATTTTCTATATGTTCCATTGACCTGTGTTTTGCAAGAGTAGATTAGAGACTAACATATTGTATGTTCCTCTATTAGGTGGACCATAGAGTTGGACTGGGGA